CTCTTGACCCAACTCACTTCACAGGGCTATTTTTATGGGGAACATAGAAGTGGGAAAGACTATTATGTAAGTTTATTTATTTATTTAATTTAATTTATATGCCGCCCAATCCCAAAGGACTCAGGTTTACTGCCTTGAGTTATTGATATAGTAATAAAAACAGGATAAAAATATAATAAATAATCAAACATAACCTTTTCTCTCAACAAGTTCCACTTGCAATAGAATGTAGTGGACCAGATTCTCAGGAGGTGCATTCCTGAGACAATGCAATTCATATGGTTTGTGTGAGAGAAAGAGGATGAAGACAATCCCTCCCCAATAGTTATTTGAATAAAAAGTGTAGATAACAGACTATTTGGCAAGATTCTGTCTATAGGCATGAAGCAATAAAGAAATCTGCTTAGAAGAGTCACTATGTGACCTTACTGTTTTTTGAGCCTGACACTGCTAACTGAAATGAAAAAACAAGTGGCTGAACAACTAATCAAAGGATCTAATGCAGGGGTGTCAAACTTGCAATGTCATGTGATATATCATGACGTATCGCAGCTTTTTTTCCATTGCCAACAATGGGTTGGGCGCAGTTTTGTCATGACGCATCCGGCCCGTGGGCTGGCAGTTTGACACCCCTGATCTAATGGATCAGTACTGCCATCTGTTGATGTCTTTTAACAAAGGAAGCATTGCTGTTCATTCAACCCTTATAATGTATACTGGCCCTTTTGAATGAAGAAATTTTAAAAGAAAAGCACCAAAACTTTTCTTATTTAAGGGTGATAGATTTACTGTAGATACCAAATGGAACACTCTATGGAAAATAAGAGTAGAAGAAAATGTATCTATTGGATTTGGTTTAGATATAAAATAGATACAAACAAATACAGAGGAAAAACTGACTCAAAGATCATTTGATTCTGCATTTTAACTTTTAGAAGTGGTACATTTCTGATTTTTAAGGGATGAGAAAAGCAATACAGTCTAAAGTTGGAAAAGCTATACAGTGTAAAGTTGCTGGTACTGCAGCCACCACTGTCACTTCTAGTCAGTACATTTAAAGACTGTAAACGGCAGGTAAAGGAGGAGGTTAATTTGAAATCTGTGACAGAAGATATCTGCATAATATTTGTTTCTGTTTGGAAGTGAATATTATGCATAGTTAGATTTGGGCCAACCATGTTGTGAGCTCAGGTATGGGTTTAAAGGTTTCCAGTTATATTGGTTTTAAAGATATTTTTAATTCAGTTACTTTAATTCAACTCAGTACACAATTGAACAACTAAGGATTTTATTTATTTTATTCCTACAATTTATATTCTGATTTTTGCCTCATAAATTGTTTAAGGAAGCTATCTGCAATAGCTGCCTGAGATTAATTGTGATTAAGGACATAGACAACATTACATTGAATAATAAATATTTAACCCTATCTTTAGAAGAGGATATTTATAGCTCAGGGCTATGCCGATCTTAGTGTTCTCTGAGCTTGTTTGTTTTCTTGCAGATGTTTCATTACCAAACTAGATAATATCAGTGCTAGAAGGGAGTGGGATTTCTCTAATTTTATATTCTAGTGGCATGCCCTATCAGTGTTGGTGGGAGTGGCCTTGGTCGTTCCTTGATTAGATTGTTGTTTACTGTTAGCTTGTTTGTCTGAGATGGTGGTTTCTTCTTTGGGATATTGTTTAATTCTTTCTTGGCTGTTGATCAAGTGTTGATCTGGGTGTTGATTGCTGGTGAGGAGGTGTTTAGTCTCCCCCCCCCATTTGGCTTTTTGATTTTCTCTTTTGAGTAGAATCTAGATGTTCTTTATCTGTATGTGCCTGTTGATGGCCAATTTGTCTGAATGCCAGGCTTCCACAAATTGTCCAGCATTTTTCGACCCTACTTTTTATCCTAACCTTACTTTTTAAAAACAAAAACATAATAAGAATGCTAGCAATTGCTAGGAATTAAGTTATCTCTCTGAAATAGATATGAAAAATCCTTTGGAATACTTTTATTAGAAAATTGCAAACCTATGAGATTTTGACCTCTCCTCTCCTCTCCTCTCCTCTCCTCTAATAAAATTACAGATTGAAATATTATAATATTGTTTAAAAGCCTAAGTGGCTTCAAAACAAAGCTATCATATCAAAGCTGAAGATAGTATTGTAACTCTTAGAGTTTATCAAGTATAGATGTCAAAGCTAGAGAGCTACTGTACTTTAACAAACTATAAATATCAAGCCCTTTCTGCTTTGCAATCTATTTTTTGTTATTCCTGCCCAGCTCTTTTTGGCTTTTTCTGAACTTTGGATTGCCTCCTTTTTCTGGGATCAGTTATTACAAAATAAAATACAATCAAAGTAAATCCAGCAGTAATACAGAAAGCCACAAAAAACATGTTCACGGAACTAAACCCTGCCATGTTAAAATCAGATGAAACGTTATGCAAAAATGATATTGCTTGATTATGATTTTCTAGAAGCTTGTAAAATAAAATTAAGTTTTTGTCAAGTTGCAATTACATAAGGAGTAGCCATCAACTAGGTCAAATTCTCAGAGAAAGCTTTTCCTTTTTTTTGTTACAACCTTCTTCAGAAATCCATGACCCATGCCTGATTTTACTTGATAGCCTCTGATTTTGTACAGCAACAGAAAGCATAAATTGTCTTTGATAGGTACAAGCCCTTTTCTGCCCAGTGTACTGGTGGGCTCATTTTGCCAACAATTATTTATGACCTTTTGTATTCTTATTTTTATCCCACCTTTATTATTTTATAAATAACTCAAGGAGGTGAATATACCTACTACTCTTTCCTCCTCCTATTTACCCTATTACAACAGGGCTTTGAGGTGTGTTGAGCTGAGAGAGAATGACTGGCTCAAGTCACCTAGCTGGCTTTCATACCTGAGGCAGGACTAGAACTCACTCTCCTGGTTTCTATTCGAGGCTCTTAACCCTTAGGCCAGGGGTAGGCAACCTTGGCTCTTTTATGACTTGTGGACTTCAACTCCCAGAATTCCTGAGCCAGGTGGCTCAGGAATTCTGGGAGTTGAAGTCCACGAGTCATAAAAGAGCCAAGGTTGCCTACCCCTGCCTTAGGCCAAACATGATCTAAAGTGGGAGTAGAATTAATGATCTCCCCTTTATCTGAGGTCAATTAACTACATTTCCAAAATGTTTATTGAATGTGATTTTTACTAGCCATAGGCCAGTAGTAACAGTTATTTTCGACAGTAACAAGCCCCTTTTATACATTAGCATTTAATGAAATAATTGCCTTGTTGCCCTGATATATCAACATAACAGTGTTTAAAATGGTTCATACAGAATATAACAGTGCAGGGTTAATAAAGTGTTAAAGGCCATTGGGATCCTGCAGCATACAAGTTCAAAAATCGGGTGCAGGGGAGGGGGGAGTGAGAAAGAAAGAGAGACTTTTATGAAGTGATGACGTTGGATTATTTTGGGGAATAGGGAACAGTGTTATTTTTGATAGGACTGTGGCGTGACCACTAACTTAGTTCTGATGAAAATGTACAAATTAAGTGCAAAAGTAAAAAAAAAATGACAACGGTGCTTTTTGACAGCTTATTTAGTTTCGACATTTGCTATTTAGATTTTTACCTGACGTTTGTTTGTTTGTTAGACTTAAAGTTGCCCAACTCCAGGACAACTTTACCTCAAAAGAATAGAAAGCAATAATAAACAAGGAAATTACAGACTATACGTCCAGCATAAATTTCACACATTGTAGATATCACAGCCACAGAGGCTCAACAGTTACCTTATTCCAGAGCCTGGAAGAAGAGTCAGAATTTAAGGACTTCTGGAATACTGTTAATGTATGAGCCGTATACATTGCTCTCATTGTTTCTGCTCAGTACGCCAGATCAAGCAATGAAAGGCAAACTTCTACCAAACTGTAGGGATCTTGTTGATCCCAAAAGATCCCCAAAGATGTGACTTTTCTATGCCTGCCTGTGGAATAGCATTTCTCTGGAAAGCCAACCCCAGACTTGGTTTCCTCAGTCATCTGGGACACAAGGAATGTGTTGGCCTTATGGGGTAAACTCCATAGGAATCACAACCAGATGAGCTAATTTTATTTTATTGTAACACTATAATGGCAGAATATTTTAAGTCTGAAAGTACAGTTCTCTCCCCCATCTCCTTCCCCCCCTGAGAAACTAGGCAGGGTCCCTTCTGAGTCTCTTGCCTTGCCCACTCTCCAACTGTGAGCTATGCAGTCTCTTATTTAATTATTCCCTGAGTGATTCATTTCCTGCATGGCTATGATAAATAAAACTCTCTCTAAATCTCTCTTTTTCTAAAGGATTTGTTCAATAAAATTGGAAGAGTTTCCCTCCCAATTCTGTAAAAAATAACAATGTCATTTGGATTGCAGAGTCCTGCTGTTTTTGGTTGAGCCAACATATGTTTCAAAGACAAAAATATTCAAAGGTATTTTGCTGAGTCTAACTTCATTATATAACACTAGAGGGCGTTCATGCTACATTTTGTATCAATACCACTCAACGGGAAACACTGCTTTTTAAATCCAGAGGAGTTGGAGTTTTAATTTAATTAAATTTAGCTGAAGAATTAATTAAAGGCAATGCATTTCAAGTACAAAAGCATTCAGATACAAAGCACTAAATACTCTCCACTAGATGTTCTCCATTTTAGGTCTGAATGTGTGATTGACAAATGGAGAGACTGTATCTGCAGTTATATTGCTGGCATATTTTGCTATTCAATTTAAGTTTCCAAAACTGTTGTCCTAGCCCACCCTTTCTCTGGATATGGCACACAATTGCCCTTGGGTTACACATTGGCTACAGAAGGAAACTGATGGAAACCCAGGCAGGCCTCAGTGTGTTCCTCGTTGCCAAAGTAGCAGTTGCCATGGTAAATGTTAAACACATGTTAGTGATGGTATCATAAAGCTCTATGGCATTACACAGTCTCATAAAACAAGTGGAACCAGGGCTTTTCATTGCTACAATTTTATCAGATTCAGAGAGCAGCTACTAGGATTCACTTAAAAGAACTAAATGCTGCAGGTACAATGTGCCTTTTAAAAGTCTTTGAAAGGAAGGGAATGAATATTTATTTTACAGGAGATTAATTGTGCACATAGATTGCTGTTGTGAAAGCAACAAACAAGGAGGTATCCTCAGTGGGTTGGGATGCTGTTGGATTGCTGTTTATTATAAAGGCAATTTCAAAGCTATGAATAAGTCACTGGGATGAGATGTAAAAACAAACTTGCTTTAGTCTTCTAGAATGCCTTTTCCTTGCCCTGTGGCTTAAAGCAGGGGTCTCCAACCTATGGGCCGCAGGACAAACTGGCCAGTGTGAGCACACATGTACGCAAACACCCCCCCACTCGTGCTACTGCCCGTGGACTAGTTTGTGCATGAGCGTGGGGATAGCGGTGGTGACTAGCGCCTGCGTGACTGTGCAAATGGGGTTGCTAGTACGCCTGTTTGTGCATGCACGTGGGGACTAGCCTGTTTGTGCAAGTGCTAGCGGCGATGGCTAGCACCTGCACCCATGAACAAATGGGGCCACTAGCACCGTGTGGGTTTCACAGCCTGCTTGTGCATGCGTGAGGGGCTAGCGGCAGCATGTGTGTACATGTACGCGCGCAAATTTCCAGCTGCTTCCTTTCCCTCCAGGCCGCCAGCATGAAAAGGTTGGTAATCTCTGGCTTAAAGTAAGATTTATCATAGGAAAGATTTGGCTGAGTTCTTCTTGCAGTATTATTGCTGTTAGACCTGTCACAGTTGAGAATAAGCAACAATTGGTTATTTGCTTACATTTTCTTGGAAAAAGGAAACTCAGAATGGATGCCTTGCTTAGTGCCCAGGGCTTTTTTTTCTCATAGAACGCCCAGAACGGAGTTCCGGCACCTTTTTTGGATGGAACCTTGTAGGGTAGGCAAGGCGGGTTGTATGACATGTGTGAGTTCCGGCACCTTTTTTTTTTTTTTTTTTAGAAAAAAAGCACTGTTAGTGCCTATCCTGTTATTGAGAGATTCAGTCTGAGTTTTTCCAGATTCTAGCTGTTCGCAGATACTACTGTATAATAGTGAAAACATTATCTGTTTCAACTATAGCAGAGTTTAAACTTCCAACGCTTTTGTCTTGATTTAAATTGCCAGTCATTCAACTTGTCTTACCTAAAACTCTGCATTAAAGGCAACCTACATAAAAAAGTCACATAGTTTAAAGCCCTTCTTAAGAACCATATGGATTCCAGACATCTATTATTAAAGTTTGACTATGTATTATATTAATTTTTACAAGAACCATTTAGCTAATTATGGTGTGTTATTACTACTTGGTTCAGTTCAAATCAAATCCAACCTTTATTACAGCCTTTGGGCCAGAAACCACAATAATAGAATACATAGGCCTGTAATTATTAATCAAACTTTTAAAAAGCAATAAAATTACTTAAAACACATTATTATAGTAACTGTAACACAAATCAATTCAACTGCAGGTAGGAAGTCTAGAACAAATGTTAGCACAAAAACTAAAAAGATATATCAGGGTCCTGATCAGATAGAAGCAGGGGATATTTATCCCATTTTAGAGAACATGATAGATTGATAGATAAGATAGTTCTTTAAAACAGAATAAATATATACAGTATCTTCCTTGATCCTCTAGATAAAGCAATAAATGAGCAATTCAATTCAATACTCTGCACTGACTTGACCATACAATAGAGGAAACTTCTGGAGGAAACATGTTTGTATTAAACTCCTGTGTTTAATTACAATAAGATGAATTAAATCACCTAGCTGAGTTGAACTATTAAATTGTTCTCATGCAAGATCAACAGCAATTCAGGGAAATATCCATATTCACCCACTGTTAACATATCCATATTGACTATTGATGTTTGAGTCTGATCTTAGGGAAGTCTTATTTCTTGACTTGATGGATAGTTAGTTGATAGTGCCAGTAAGGAAAAGTCTATTATCTTGGGGAAGAAATGGGACAAGAGTGATAGCAAAACTGTTCTGAGATTCATGTAAACCAATGTTTCTTAAACTATGGTCCTAGGACTTCTGGTGTCCACAAAATCATCACCTCTGTTGAAGAATAATACAATATTAGAATCCCATCAAACTATCATGAGAAATGGTAGTGGCAACAAATGTGTCAGTTTTAGTTTTTAGTACAGTAAATGTTGATAAATAGAACCCAAAGAAACAAAAGCTATTTTGGGGACCTCCATAATTTTTAAATGTGGGTTCTGAGAGGAAAAAAAAGGTAAAGAAACATGGATACAGGGCATTATAACCTGGATGTTGGTGTTTAAGTAATATTCAGATATAATTTTAGCCATTTATTTGTAAGTGTTTTATTTTATGCATTGCTTTTATCTACCATGCTATTTTTTTTTGTTAACAGCTAATGGTGAAAACAAAACAATTATTTCTTACAAGATAAAAAGCAAAATGTAATTACAGAAAAGGAGGTTAATTGTTAATTGCTTTCGGCAAGTACAAGAATAGCTTAGTCATTATTAATAGAAATGAAATTTGTTTTAGCATGGACTACAAGCAAGCAGGCATACGTTGAATAATTGATTCTAGTGAGAAATCACCCTGATAAACATTTTGTACAAACCTATGAGCTCCTTTCAGACTAATGACCATCAGAGTGGGTGCCTCTTCCTGCTTTCCTGAACTCATAAAGCCAAGGTTTGAGCATCATGTGTTCTCTGGAGCCTCTCCAAAGGGTGCTCCAGTAGAATAGGAAAACATTACATGAATGGGGAGCAATCACGTTCACTACATTTAATCACAATATAATTTATTTATTTATGAGACTTATATACCGCTTTAAGTGCAAGCACTCTCTAAGCGGTGTGCACCAGTAAACAATGTATGTATATATTTACATTGCCCCAACAATCTGGGTCCAATCACAATATAATTAAATTTAAGTCTAAAGTAATATATATTTGGCTTCCAGGACACACTTTTTGACCTGCTCTCTGCCAGTTTTTGGGTTGTGCCCTTAATCTTCTACTCAAACCCAAGTATAACACCTATCCCAAGATAAAGTTAGTTGAGTATTTAAAAAAATGCCTAGTATGAATGGCTGTAAAGATGACAGCACACAACTAAGCAACTTTAGAATAAATTAAAGAACCCATGTCACATTGGGTCATTGTTTCAGAGATATTTCCTTACTAAACAGAGGAACAGAATGACCGCAGTGGAAGTGGCAGTGGTTTCCATCTTCCTGCAGGCTTCCCCACTGACTTTCATTGTGGGATGCTGGCAGGAAACAACAGAAATCTTCCTTCCCTCCTTCCTTCCTTCCTTCCTTCCTTCCTTCCTTCCTTCCTTCCTTCCTTCCTTCCTTCCTTCCTTCCTTCCTATACTCCCTCTCTCTCTTCTTCAGAGAATAGGAACACATGACAGCGAAGACAGACTTTGGTCATGGCACCAACGTCGGCAAAAATATTACATAAAGTCATGCATTTTGCTCTTGAGATCTTGTTGTTAAAAGTAGGTATTGTTGTGTTAAAAAAATCTCTCAGAGTAATTAGTGTTGCAATATATTCTCAAGCTGATCTTTCCTTTTGCTTTCCATCTTTTCTTGTCTCTTCATTCTATACCTTAATAGGAATGTGGTGGCTCATGAGGTTAGAATGCTAGGATGATGATCAGTAGCCTTACATTCAGGGCCCATTGCTGCCACAGAGTTGGGATGAGTTCCTGCCATATGCTCCAGCTTCTGCTGACTCAGCAATTCAAAAGTGGGTGACTGCAGGAGATAAATGGGCACCATTTCACAGGGAAGTAGAAGGAAACCCCAACTGGGCATCCCCTGGGGAATTGTGATGTCACCGGCAAATCCTTTCCCCATGGAAGTACAATGCTTCCGACATGGTCATATTAGTATTCTATAACTTTCCTCGTGTTTTTGGAGTCATCATTATCTGTTTCTTCATTTCTCCCCCTCATTGCCACATCCTAACAGCATTTGGTGCCATCTCTTGCCATCATTGAGAGTTGGTGTCTCCTCTCTCTTTCCATTGGCATAATCATGCTGACAATATTTTATTTTATTTTATTATACTTCTTTTTAAATCACAATCTTGTATGTTGCTGTTCTCACCTCAGAATATTTTAGAACCTCTGCAGATTTCCCCCTGAGTTGCAGGAAGCTATCAGAGTTAGTTCTAAAATAGCATCATGTGACTACCTGAAGTCTGAGTCAAAATTGGCTTACCTCAGGGGTAGGCAACCTCAGCTCTTTGATGACTCATGGACTTCAACTTCAACTATGCTGACTCAGGAATTCTGGGAGTTGAAGTCCATGAGTCATCAAAGAGCTGAGGTTGCCTACCCCTGGCCTACCTGATCTTTGATGGCCAAATGAGGGGCCAGTCTACCTGTAGACAGAGACAGCTATGACTTTGAAAGGAAACCTATGGCCTATTTCAGATGAACCATTCAGGGTAAGAAGTGGTTGAAAAATGAAACGGGATGGGCAAGGACTAAAGTATAGTGGCTAATGTATAAGTTAACTTATAGAGAGATACAACTTTTACTGGATCTGCAGCCACAGCAGATCACCTGGTGACTTTTAGCCCAGCCTACCTCACAGGTTGTTGTGAAGACATATTGGAGGATGGAGCACTATGTGCCTTGAATTCCTGAACAAAGATGTGATATAGATACATGTGCATGTTTATGTGACAGAGAAGGGATGTGTAAAGCAATAAAAATATTCAGGCCTTTCTTCTTGCATCTTAAAGTTGTTGTTTTTTAAAGAGCCAATGATGAGCCAATTCCTTGCTGCTGGGTGGGGGAAGCAGCAACGAATTGCAAAATTGCCACAGAATGTTCAGAATGGCCACCAGGTGACCATAGCAGCAGACCCAACCATTTGCACCAACCTGAAGTAGCCAACTTTTCCAAATTTTATTCCTGCAGGAGTCATGGGTCCTGGATATGGGATACATTCTGTACACAAGTCCATTTGAGGTACCTTGGTTAAATAATTGATGCCCTCTGATACATCAT